GCTATATCTGAGTGGTATATCACGTCAGATCAAATGACGCTTCCGATGACGTATTGAGATGGCCAAAGAGGCGTTCTAAAAGCTAAGCAAAGTATTAAGAGACAGGAAAACCTCGTTGGAAACAACGACAAGAGTACTAGACTGTTACGTGATATCTGTTTCCTCTATGGCAGCGAATGCTGGACAATCTCCTCAAAGATAAAGAAGAGATTCGAAGCAACAGAAATGCGGTTCTACAGAAGGATGCTGTGGATATCATGGCCCAAACATGTGAGCAACGACGAGGTTTTGGAGAGCGTGGAACCAAAAAGGAAACTTATACTTGACATCACGATGAGGCGGTTGACTTTTCTGGGACCCGTAACGAGAAAGGTGGGCTTGCAAAATCTGATAGAAGGAAAAAGAGACAGAGGAAAGCAACATGACACACATGGACTCTCTCAGCTATAAATAGGAGCAGGTACTGCCTTTTAAAGAGGAAAGTTTCCAGCAGTCAGCTCTGATAGTCGAACCGTTTCCTGTAACACTCTCGTTTGTATATGTTTGTATTACTATTTCTCTTCCTATATTTGTTTAACTCAGTTCCTTCCTTGTGCCTTTATTTCTGGCCCTAACAAGGCCACAACAGATATACTTAATAATCTTGAGCAAAGGGATGGCAGAGCGGGGGTCTGGAAGAAACAACAAAAAGACAAAACTTATGAGGAGCTACAAGAGACAGGAAGGTTTCTTGGTGTCAAAACATTTAGAGTTTTATGGTAAAGGCATAAATAACTTTGTAACTAGGTGGCGAAAATGGATAGAGGTTTGGGATTTCTAATTCGACTGATCTGAACGCTGTTTAAATATATTAATAAAGATCTTTTCGTGCAACTTAATAATTGCCTTTAAAAAAAAAGCCCAAGCTGCTCATAAAAATTAAAGTTTTCTCATCAGTATATTTGTTGCCATGTATAACGATATTATGGAGAAAAATATTAGATCATCTTCATGTGAAAAATAATGGCGACTTTTTGTTTAAATTTTACAATGTATTGATCAGAAATAAGTGAAGTGCAAAGCAAGCAAGCAAAATTGGAATCGGCGTCGATGTGAAATCTGCAGAGACGAAAAAAAGTGCAGAACAATAGGCTTGAATAAATAATAATAAAAAAAAAACAAGAAATATCGGGAGACAAAAAAAAAGTTCTTTTCTTTGGCTGTATAAATTCAAAAAAAACCCAAAAAAAAAAAAAAAAAAAAACAAAGAGAACAATCAAAGCGAAAAATGGAAAGTTACTACAGATATTGAAAAAATACATCGGAGGGCTCTTTCATGACAAATAAAAAATAATATAAAAAAATAAAATAGGAGATGTATCTACAATATACATATATATATATATATATATATATAGATATAAATCGTCCTCGTTAAGACGTTAAACTACATCCGTGTGCTGGGTAAGACGATAAACTACCTCAAACAGCAAGGCCTCAGATCAGGAGGTTTTGAGGAAGCATGGAACCACCTCTTAATTGCTGGTGTTCTCAGGTTCACCCTGACCCGGGGTGGTAGCACCTGTTAGAATCCCAGCTATGGGCAAATAGTTAACTATTACCAAAAATATTTTTGAAAAAGTTATTACCAGCAATACAATTTTGAAGGAAAAATATTACCAGAAACAGATTTTTAACAAAACAAAATATTACCAGTAATAAAAAATTTTGTTGCCATTGATTAACCCGCTGGGGTTGGTGTGCCGTGGGACAAAATAAACCAAACCAATCTAAACCAAAGAATACATAATCTATTCATACGAATCTATCCTAAAAATGTTGTCGGCATTAAATAACCCATTGAGGTTGATATGCCGTAAAACAAAATAAAACAAACCTATCTAAACCAAAGAATAATATTCTATTCAAATGAATCTATCCTAAAAATGTTGTCGGCATTAAATAACCCATTGAGTTGATATCCGTAAAACAAAATAAACAAATCAATCTAAACCAAAAGAATACATATTCTATTCATACGAATCTATCCTAAAATGTTGTCGGCATTAAATAACCGATTGAGGTTGATATGCCAAAACAAAATAAACCAAATCAATATAAACCAAAGAATACATATTCTATTCATACGAATCTATCCTAAAAATGTTGTCGGCATTAAATAACCCATTGAGGTTGATATGCCGTAAAACAAAATAAACCAAACCAATCTAAACCAAAGAATACATATTCTATTCAAATGAATCTATCCTAAAAATGTTGTCGGCATTAAATAACCCATTGAGGTTGATATGCCGTAAAACAAAATAAACCAAAATCTAAACTAAAGAATTATATTCATTCATATAATGTTGTCGGCAAAATAACCCGAGGTTATATGTAAAACAAAATAAACCAAACCAAAACTACAATATAATGTTAAAACCCGACGTTAAGTCACCATAATAGCGTTCTATACGACACGCCAATTCATATCACAACTAAGGTCCAGAACTAGGGTCCTATTTTAAAATGTTTAAATGTCAGAAAGTTTAGAAGAAAATTTAAAAGTTAACTCATTTTGACACATAAGGTAATCACCTTCTAAACATCCATACATATGCTAATTACCAAGTTAAACATCCGCCATATTACTCTGAACTCTGTCTCATTTATCTTATTTTTTTTAATTATTTTTATGCAAGGCAACAGTGCCACTAGTACGCATCGGGTTACAGAGAGTGACAACAAGAGAAAAAACAGCAGTGTTTGAGGATCGGACATAGAGAAGGACGTGGATCAGGATCAAGACATCAGAAGATGTCGGTTGACATATTTGTAATCAAAATTTAACTGCCGATTTTCTGAAATCGGCTAAAATATTGAGATTCCAATCAATGTAATTTCAGTTTTATGTCCACTAGAATATTTTGCTTACTGGAAATAGTACATTTAATCATTTAATCAATTTAGCTTTCATTTTTAAAATTCTTTTTTTAAACGTTGGAATGAAATCTTCAAGAATACTTTTTCATATTTTTTAATATTCTTTTTTTTCAAACGTTGGGTACAAAACTATCACATAAAGAGTTACCTAGAGTAAACGTGGCATCAGATTCGTCAATTTGAATATTTGAGTTATGCCGTGAAAATTCCATTTGGGAAGTAGAAAAGACACAGTGAGGGAAAGATGCTAACCTAGTAGCACACAATTCTGCGTCGTGGCAAAAGTGATTTGTGGCCATATTTGTAGAAAAACAGAGGGGAAGTCAAGCACATCTGCATCTGAACAATTTTTCATATCTATCTATTTATTATTCGGACTATTGTTCTCATTCTTGTAGCCATGTTTATCACAATGTTTCGGTTGTTGTTGTACGCTCCGGCCTTCTTCCGGTTGTTGGAATGTCGAACTGAACCCTTTATTTCGCTCACTGTGTTAGAATGTTCTAGTTCCACGTGCCATGTTTAATGGATGTCAGTTATCAGTTATCTCCATTTAATAACTCCCCTCTGAAAGTTCTCCACCGCCTTAACCGGGTATTGAACTCACAACTCTTTGGGTCCTGTCACTGGATCTAACCTCAAGGACACATGTTTTACAGTGGATAAAGGCGTTGGTTAGATTCAGTGCGAGTCTCATTCTGATTTCTCCAAACATAAACCAATCTTGAATTAAAATATTGGCAGTATTTGATTTCATCTGACCAACTTACAGACTGCCAAAATTCATAACATTTGCCCTCGAATTCTCTCGCCCAGTCCATACGGAAGTTCCTGTTAACCTCTGAAATTAAGTGATTCTTAACTGCAAGTCATCTTTGATAGCCTAGCTCTTTCAGAGACTTTCTCACCGCATATTGCGACATTTTCATGCTGTTGGCGACATCTTTGACGCTCTGACGACGGTTTCTGATGACTTCCCTATTCAGTGCCCTTTTCGTTCATTCAGACACGATTCTTGGTCATCCTGAACGTTTTTTTTTCTCCACACAACAATGCACTTCTTCGTTAAATTTCATTAACCATTTGATGATTAACCTGGAAAAACCTCTCTATTTGACTTGCCACACTGACGCCATCCTATTATTTAACTTTGTTGAAATTCACTAATTGTTATGGATTCCGAGGATGGAATCCTGCACAAATAAATAAACACGCCAGTAAATGAAATAGAAAAATATGTGTATTACATGTAAGAATACAAAGTTGAAATGAAGATTAGTAGTCCAGGAATGCGGGTTAGTAGAAAAGTATAATTACAAGTAAGTGAAGCCGTAATTATCTCTCTTTCCGGACTCTCGTATAACTCTGAGTGAACACCCCTGTCTCGACGTTTTTGTCACGCTATCTCTCCGTAGTCTAAGTATACTTTAGACGAGTCCATCTTGTGTACAAGGGGCGAGCTCCACAGTACTAATTTCCTTACTTCCACGAACTTTCATTGCAAGATATAAATCAACTATTATTCATAGATGAGAGTAGCTTGTTACTAACACGGTATTGTCTGAAAAAAAGAGACGTTATTTAAACAAGCCAAAATTGCTGAAATCAAGGGTGGCTAAAAACTTATCATAGCCCACTGTATATTCTTGTTTAGTTCAGGTCAGGTATCGCTCGACCTGTTTTCACAGCGTCTAAGTCTGCTCAACTGGTACTTGACGTCTCGTGCGAACTTAAAATCCAGTGAACGCTTCTGAAATGTTCTTCTTAAACAATAAATTTTCGAAACAGGTATGCTTATCATTCTACGCCAGACAATAGAACGTCTTGTATTTTTTTGTAGCAACTTCAGGCAATTTTCGTAAGATTGTCGGGTAGATATGGTTATTACAATGTGTATTATCTTTGTTGATGTGGAAAGAAACACATTCGTGGCGAACAAAAAGAACGCAGCCAAGACAGAAGACAGGAACTATAAAATGAAAACGGATAAACGTGGAATGGTTTCGAAAAAATATTTTTTTAATTTTTTTATAATTAAAACACAGTCGGCATAAAGATCTAAATGCGTACATTAAGATATGCATATTCATGTTAATAGATTGGTAGGTTCAGATCTATCTATCTATCTATCTATCTATCTATCTATCTATCTATCTATCTATCTATCTATCCCAGTCTGTTCATATCAACGTCATTTTGTGATCTATCTATCTATCTATCTATCTATCTATTATCTATCTATCTATCTATCTATCTATCTAAGCATATTCATCTTATCTATCTATCTATCTATCTCAGTTTGTTCAAATCAACGTCAGTTTGATCAGATCTATCTATCTATCTATCTATCTATCTATCTATCTATCTATCTATCTAAGCCTGTTCATATCTATCTATCTATCTATCTATCTATCTATCTATCTATCTATCTATCTATCTATCCCAGTCTGTTCATATCAACGTCATTTGTTCTATCTATCTATCTATCTATCTATCTATCTATCTATCTATCTATCTATCTATCTATCTATCTATCTATCTATCTATCTATCTCAGTTTGTTCAAATCAACAAGATTTCTATTATTTTCTATCTATCTATCTATCTATCTGGAATCAAAATCTTCCTTTTGTGACTTTTTTCATCTATCTATCTATTTTTTTTTTTTTATCTATCCCAAAATCAACGTCATCTAATTTTATCTAAGCCTGTTCAAAACCAACCATCTACAGAACTTTAAATATCTTTTTTTTTTTTAATTTTAAAAATTATAATCTTAATATGTCAAAACCAAACATCTACAGAACTTTAAATATCTGGGAAATTTTCAACGTATCTTAAACGTTATTCGTTATTGCTTTTCTTCGTTCGATGCTGTGCGTATTTTTTCTATTTGTGTGTGTGTGTGTGTGTGTGTGTGTGTGTTGGTGAGTGGATCGTTGTGTTAGTGCGCCTGCGTAGTGGCAAGACAAAGTATCAAACTATATAATAATTATCAATGTATAATTTATTCATGTGTCCTGTTCTATGTGTAATTGAAACGGAGGTACATCAACCTAAGTTGATTAATTTCATGAGTGATTACTTCCCTTAGTAGTTTTAATAATCTATATAAATTCAATATGCATTTGCATTTAGACAAAATTAATTCCCTAGTAAAAAAAGAACAGTTAATCAGTTCCTTTGCTTATCCGTTTCTTAAACTGCAGTCTTATTTGTTCAAGCCTTTCACGTGAGGCACTCAGATATCTTTGTCTATTAAGTGATCGTATAACTTCAACTTGGTCTTGAAATGGTCTTTGTCGTGCCGTTGCTATTCTTTTTCTTCCGAGAGATCTTTTCCATTTCACTGTTATATTAAATACTAAATTTGAAACATAAAAAGATATTGATAAAAAAATTTTTTAAAAAATACAAAAATTTAAATGACGGAAAATGTGAGACCAAAAATCCGAAGATGCATTGTAATAGACAATCTAAGCAAAGTATCAGAAAACAGGAAAATGTCGTTAGAAACAAAGAAATGAGCGCTGGCCTACACGTACTGCATTGGATATCATTCTGGATACATTGGAGTTTGCAGATTTGTACCCTAGCATCACTATTTTGGCGTACTACTACTACTACTACTACTACTACTACTACTACTACTCCATCTCTATCTCAATCAATCAATCAATCAATAATAATAATAATCTATATATTTAAACTTGTAGCCTCTGTCCGCTTGCAAGTTTGTTATCGAACTCCTCCTAGGGTTTTTTTTTTTCAGATAAACCCCCATAACCATATATATTCTGAAATTGCGTTACATAGGTTACTTGGATAAGTATATTTCATTTTGATCAAAGGGGTACCCCCCCGTGGGGGAGGGGGTTACCCTCCCCCCAAACGCCACTGAAATTTTTTTTTTTTTTTCCCTTTTGATTTAAATTAAATTTAGATTTTTAGCAATGGAATGACTCCTATCCAAAATCCGAACAATTTCCATGAAAGTATTTATAGAAAAAACACAGAGAGGCAACCTTACGGCTGCGGCGGTGGGCAAGTGACTGAAGCCGTGAACTCAGGTCAAGATCGATAATCATTTGTGTCATTTGATATGCCAATATCAATAACACTGGTAAACAAAAAAAAAATTTAAAATGGTGTCGAGTCACCAAACATTTTTTAAAGCTAATTTGAGGGCACTGAATCTTAAAATGACCTTACTTTTTCTTGGTTAGCTGCCGTATTTGTGTACAGAAATGGCTCACGTTTGGGAAAAAACATTTTTTTTTTCATTTGTTTTCTGTACATATGATATTGACCGATGGCAATATTTCTCAAAGTAAAAATCGTAGAATCTTCTCAATTCGTATTTAAACCAACAAATACTGGTCTGCTTATTCAGAAATACTATTTTTGCAATAACAATCAGAAGCGAACTCTTTAAAAATAACGTGAATGAATATACCAAGATCAACAAGTATTTTCATCAAATCATTTAATAAACCAAAAGCAGAAATAAAACGTTCGTGAACATAAGAACGATGGTAAAGATTTTCTCTTTCTTGATTGTCTGTCATGTTCAATGTTATTTAAGTCCCTTTTGATATTCCAGCAGTATCTCTATCTATAAAAGGCAGGAAGTGTGTGTGTGTGTGTGTGTGCATATGTGTGTGTGTGTGTGTGTGTGTGTGCATATGTGTGTGTGTGTGTGTGTGTGTGTGTGTGTGTGTGTAACGAATGCACAGCCGCAATTTTCGACGGATTTGCACCAAAATTTATATGCACATGCTCCAAGTTAGCGGGAAAGACCAAGACCGACTTTGCATTTCCCAACTCGATTCGATAGTGGAAATAATCGATTTTTTTCATGCTTCTACGGCAGTTTTCATGTAGTTTGCGGCCATTTTGTACTGGCCAGGGTGAGAGCCTATAGCTGGCTGCCACGAATAGGCAGGAAGATTCTATTGGCCAGCGTGAGAGCCAACAGCTGACTGACACGAATGTTAACTAGCATGCAAAAAAAATCGATAGCTGCATTCGTCACAAGTGGGAAAATTTAAATCTGCATGGCACTTTACTCCAATTGGCTCACTCGCTTGCTTAAACTCAACGTTGATTCTGATTCCGCAGAACTGGGTTGGGTGTGAAAAAGTATTTGTTGTTAACATTCTTTTTTCATTCGGTTTTTTCAGTTACAAGTCCTTTTTTTTAAAAGCTGATCGTTTTGTGTTCATTTTGTTTAGTTCTTTTTTCCTAACAGATTTAATGTTTAGTATAGAGCTTAGAAAAAATTCGCAGTGTGAGATAGGCAAGAAGTAAGGCATGTAGCAACATCAGCACGGAAAAGGGCACTCCTTTAAAGACAAGCAAGGGCACAAATATTTTAAGTCAAGTGATAGCGATTGCTGTATGAGTCGTACGAATTTTTGAATCCAGCACGAGCAATGGAATATGTGCATTCAATTGGGATGTCTTTAGTTGGAGTTTCTTTCCAACTGTGAAAGTAAAATGTTCACAATATGCCTGGTTTTCTTCCGTAGTGAAGGGATAAAAGTGATGCGATAGATTTATGAATATCAAACAAGATTTTAGGGTTTTATTTTTTGATGTCACCTTAATTATCAGGTTTACTAAAGTGTAGTACTGATAAAGTTAGTCAGTTCATTTGAATTTTGGCGATGAATTGGAAAACTTCGGCATATCTATTTTAAAATTTTTGACCCAGAAATACTTTTTTTTTGTTATAAAAATAGTTCATTTCAGGTGGAGTGGCTGACATAAATTGCTCGGCGTACCTGAAAACTGATGGGTTTTCTACGACCTTTATTAACTAAATTTTGCCATCAGCAAAGATCGTAGATTGATCTTTTTTTTTCTCCAAAATGTGAGCAATTTCAGTACAGCAAAAATGTTAGGTAACCATGAAAAACTAAGGTTATTTTGCGAATCAACGCCATCAAATTCTGTTTTGTTTCTTGGCGCCAAAACTATGGAAGTTGTTGGTGCCTCTATCTAGCATAGTAATATCCGGAATATGATGCTGTATCATTCTGTCCCAGAATATTTCTAACTTCTTCAGTTCTTCGGCGAGGCACATGATCGTAACAATTGTAGTTATTATTATTATTATTATTATTATTATTTTTTTTCTTTTGATTTCTGGCGTTTATTTTCTTTCCGGGTCCCGCCCAGAGACCTAAGGTTAGAAATGGCATCATGACACTTTCCACTGACAAAAAAAAAAAAGAAGAAATTACATAGATAAAGCCCTTCGTAAAGTGTGGGCTGTACTTGTGAGAACAATTTTTTGTATCTCCTTGAAGCATGGACTTCCAGGAATGCCTTCAATTAGTCTACTGGAATCTTTTCCAACCAATCCCAGGGCTCCAAATACAACGGGGATTGTTGATGTTCCCATGTGCCACATTTTTGAGATTTCTATTTCAAGGTCTTTATATTTTGACAGCTTTTTGAATATCTTCAAAGATACATTGCAGTCAGCAGGGACTGCCATATCAATAAGGAGACATTTTATTATTATTATTATTATTATTATTATTAAAAATGAACGAGTGGCTGGGTGATTAGAACATTCTCTTTCTGACCATGAAATCCACGTTCGATTTCCACCATCATCGATGTATTCATTGAGGTTTCATCTCGAGGTTATCGACCTGTGGAGGTGATCCCAGCGCGTGGCATCCGTGCGAAGTTACCGAAAGACATACCACGGGTTTACCCCCACCGTTGAAATCGATTAGAGAGGCGTCATCGATGCTTGTGCTAGCACGAAGTCACAAGTCATCGTGAGAGAGGGCGTTAGCGCTCTCCGCCAGCAAATGTAACTAAAGCTCTCTCTCAGAATCTTTCTTTCTTTCTTTTTATGTGGCCTGGTCTTTTAGGACGTGGGAGATCATGGCTCTCCACCTCCTTCTATCCTTTGCAGCTCTCAGCGAACTTCTTCCCTCTGCTTCCTTCCCCAGACCGTTCTGTCATCCACTTGCTCACGCTCTGTCATCCACTTGCTCACGTTCTGTCATCCACTTGCTCACGCGTTGTTTTCCCTTGTCTCTCTTTCCCTCTATTCGACTCGTGAGTATCAGATTCTCCAGGCCCTCCTTCCTCATTATGTGTCCCAGAAATTACAGCTGCCTCTTCCAGAGTGTTAAGTATAGGCCTCCTACTTGTTTGCATCCTCTCTAAGGGGATACGCTCGATCCATGATACCCTTAGCATCCTTCTCTAGAAATACGTCTCCGTACAAGCGTAACAATACAGCACAGCTCACTGAAACGCCGGCTCTTGTAAGACCGCCGAATTTAAGCAATAGAACGTGATCTGAATTTCTCACACTCTTGGATGACAGAGAAAGAATTTTCAAAGCTGTAAAAGGTTCTGCAGCTAGGTATGTCATACCTTGTTTTCACTTGTGTCTCTTCTTCTCTATTCGACCCACGTGTATCAGATTCTCCAGGCCCTCCTTCCTCATTATGTGTCCCAGAAATTTCAACTGCCTCTTACTGATGTTAAGTATAAGCTTCCTCCTTGTTTGCATCCTCTCTAAGGGGGTACGCTCGGTCCATGATACCTTTAGCATCTTTCTCGAGAAACACATCTCTGTATTAACGTAACAATACAACGTACCTCATCTAAACGCCGGTTCTCGTAAAACCGCCGAAGTTAAGCAATAGGACGTGATCTGAATTTATCACGCTCTTGGATTGCAGAGAAAGAATTTTCAAAGCTGTAAAAGGTTCTGCTGCTAGGTATGTCTTGCATTGTTTTCACTTGTCTCTCTTTACCTCTATTCGACCTGTGAGTATCAGATTCTCCAGGCCCTCCTACCTCATTATGTGTCCCAGAAACCTCAGCTACCTCTTTCTGATGTTAAGTATAAGTCTTCTTCTACTTTGTAACCTCTCTAAGACCTCATCGTTGCGCACACGCTCGGTCCCTGATAGTTGCTGTATAAAAGGGCAGCCGTGTGTTGCAGAGATTTTGCAGGCGCCTCTAATATGGTTTTGGCTAGCTATCCTAATTTTTAATATTACAGATACACTTCGCTTTGCGTCACTCAGCTGTTTCGTAAATCGGGGATACAAGCGTTCCGCAATACATGGTTTCATTCGAGAGAAATGCCTTCGCCTAAAAATACAAGATCTAGATACTTTACGGATGTTAGTCGTTTTTTTTTTTAAAGCTTAATAAATAATTCAGTTTCTTTTGTATGTTCCTAATTGCAATGAGGAAAAACAAACAAACAAAGAAAAAAAATGCTGATTCATTTTCAATATGGCCGCTTTGCAAAAGTTCGTTCATTTTGCTAAACTAATTTACAGCCGAAAAAATGATACAAGAAGTGTTTGAGGTGTATTTTCTACTTCGATTTGCCATGACATGTATATCACCCGCTTCTTCATGGCCGTGTTTTCATCTTTTTTCTTTTCTAATTTGTCCTTGCTCTAGTTCATTTAATGTCTTTCTTTCTTTTCATATTTTCATTTCTTTTCTTTTTTTCATATTTTTTCTTTTCATGTTTTCATTTCTTTCTTTCTTTCTTTCTTTCTTTCTTTCTTTCTTTCTCCAGTGTTTGGCTCCTCTTTCCCTACAGTCTGTATTTCTTTCTTTCTTTCTTTCTTTCTTTCTTTCTTTCTTTCTTTCGTGTTTGGCTCCTCTTTCCCTACAGTCTGTATTTCTTTCTTTCTTTCTTTCTTTCTTTTCTTTCTTTCTTTCTTTGGCTCCTCTTTCCCTAGTCTTTTTCTTTCTTTCCCTTTCTTTCTTTCTTTTTCTTTCTTTCTTTCTTTTCTTCTTTCTCCAGTGTTTGGCTCCTCTTTCCCTACAGTCTGTATTTCTTTCTTTCTTTCTTTCTTTCTTTCTTTCTTTCTTAATAATCTTTTCTCTCAGTTCGATAGTACTTTCTCCTCACTCTTTCATTTTCTTTCTTTCCAAATGTCTTTCTTTTATTATACATTTTCTTTCACTTATTTGACTTTCCTTTCAGTTTTGTAATCATTTCACCCCATGTTAGGCAATAAAGCTACTAGGATGCAAGATATTATTGAGCGTTAGAAAATATGAGAAAAACTACTATTAGAGCGAGGACAAAAATTAAAAAAAACCCCAAAAAACAGAAATTAAGAAGACAGAATATATCGACTGAGAATGCATTTAATTTTTTAATGAACAAAGTTGACTGGAAAGCAAGAAGCCGGAAGAGAGTTCTACAAGTGAGAAGTGAGAGAGAAGAAACTGTTAGCATAGAACTTTCGGTCACATCTAGCCATTTAGACTGTAAAATGATGAGACCTAACCGCCAATCTAGTACTGCTCTTATATTCATAAAGTTTAGGTGCCATAGAGGAAAGTTCATCAGAACGCTTAACCTGAAATTATTCATAGAAAAGTCACAGAGAAGCTACGTTAGGGCGGTGGGAAAGTGATTGAAGCTGAGATGCCAGATCAGGACCAATAACATTGCAGATTCTTTTCCGGATTATATTATATGTAGCAGGAGCACCAGACCTAATGTGGCAGCAATATTTAAAGCAAGGACGAATGGTAGATTTATAAATATGTAAGATAGATTCTGTTTATATTTCTGAGATGAAGTATTTTAATTATTTACATTATTTACATTGTTCAGACTGTTGTCCCGATCTTCGTTGCTATATTCACGACGTTTAGGTCGTTGTACGCTCCGTCCTTCTTAACTCTCCATATTTTAGTTCACCCCTGCCGTAGCCAGGTATTGAACTCACAACTATTTTGGGGTCAAATCACTGGATTCAACCAACAGTTTTATCCATTGGGCCATATGTCAGTCGTGTTTAAAATAGACAGTCTTTCTCACTTCTTCCATTCACTTTTTCTTCTCTTCTTTCTTCAATGTCAACTCTTCCTTACTCTCCCTAATGTTTAGCCTTACTCTCTGTTATATACCGTACCTGTGAACACTAATGGGTATGTCTCAATCCTCATAAATAGGTTGGACACTATTGAAAGTGGGAGTAATATTCTGCCTAATTAGTTCACCACTAGCAGTGGTTTACCTACTACGCGCCGCTGGCGAGTATTGTATTTTGTTGATGTTATAAAGATTAGCATTTCATTTCCAACATCCACTTTGGTTATTCCTCATTCAGTAACCCTTTCTAGGTTACATCAGAAAGAAAGAAAGAACTGATGACATCATACTTATAAAACCCAGGTTGTGTGTGTGTGTGTGTGTGTGTGTGTGTGTGTGTGTGTGTGTGTACGTTTATATATTGGATCGGATTTCCTACATTTTTCAACCGATTTCAACAAAACTTCACAAGACTACGTAAAATTACCTTGCGGTGGTTCTGACAGCGCCAAAAAATTGGAAAAACACAGTTGTTTTTGCACGAAATCAATTTGAATATACGATTACGAGGCATCGCGTGAATGAAAGGGGGACAACTCATATCGAGTTATACTTATTATAAAACCCAGGTTGTTTGTGTGTGTGGTTGTCTTTGTTCGTTTATATATGGGATTGGATTTCCTACATTTTTCAACCGATTTCAACAAAACTTCACTTTTTTTTGGCAGATAGTGTTTCTTATTGTCTTGCACACTTTTTTGTTTTTTTTTTTACATTCAGAATGCTTTAAAAATTCCATTTACAAGACAATTGTTTATAATAAAATTCTATTCAATCGGTAGACTCATAACGATTGAAAACAATGTTTTTGTTTGAGTTTGGGTTTGACCAGTTCGTAAAAAACAAAAAAAAACAAAAAAAAAAAAAACAAATTAAGACATGCGTGTCCGTCAACCTTAAATAATAATCTTTGTCAATTTTATTTTTCAGTCTTTATGATGGTCGATACTTGATCTATCTCTTACTGTTACATTCCCGGGCAACGCCGGGATCTAATGCTAGTTAGAAATAAAGAGGACGTGGAATAAGAAAGAAAGAAAGAAAGAAAGAAAGAAAGAAAGTGTTATATACCGTATCTATCAATGCTAATAGTTATGTCCCAATCCTCATAAATACATTAGACACTATTGTAAGTGTGTGGGGGGGTAATAATGTCTAACTAGTCCACCACTAGCAACGGTTTACCTACTTCACGCACCTGGTGAGTATTGTATTTTGTTGATGTTATAAAGATTACCATTTCATTTGAAAATTTGAACATAAAGTTTCCATTATTTTCCGAGAAATTTTGGCTTTCATAAGCCATTGTTAACTCATTGTAGGACATGTTACAGTTGCCAAAAAGGAAATAAAAAATCTTTTAAAAGAACTCGTCGCTAAACAAGACAGCCCTATATATATATATATATATATATATATATATATATATATATATATATATATATATAAAGAACTCTTATGTAGCGAAGGAATAATATTTTTAAAAAATATTAGAATTATATATATATATATATATATATATATATATATATATATATATATATATATATATAAGAAGTATAGCCTTAAGGTGTGGTATATTTATGGGATAAAGTGCTCAATATCAGAGATAGAGCGTGTGTAAATATAAAAGTGAACATAGAAGTCAACACTTAGAGGCGACAGGCTGTTTCATGCTATATGCAATCGTCATATATATATATATACGAGGTAAAGTTCAAAATTATCTGCACTTTCGCTATTACATATAGCATATCAAGAGTGCGGAAATTTTTGACTTTCCTTGTATACATATATATATATATATATATATATATGTGTGTGTTTGTGTGTATATATATATATATATATATATATATATATATATGTGTGTGTGTGTGTGTGTGTGTGTTATATTTAAAATAACTGGTATTCCAAAGCGGTCTAACCACTCAGGATTGAGCCGATTCGACATTCTTTAATTTGGGTGAGTAGAAGAGAACTGGTGTATTCAAACGCGCTAAATTTGTGTGTGAATAAAATTATCACCATAGTAAAAAAAAAAAGAAAAGAAAGAAGAAAGAAAAACACAACAAAAAAACAAAAATAAACTGAGAAGAGACAAGTCGTACGAAACGTCATTTCGAGCAGGCAAACGCAAGACTGCCGATGATGATGATGATGATGACGATGGTGATGATGATGATGATAAAGCAGATGATGATGATGGGATGATGATGATGATGATGACGACGATGATGATAATGCAGATGATGATAATGATGGGATGATGATGATGATGATGATGATAATGCAGATGATGATGATGATGGGATGATGATGATGATGATAATGCAGATGATGATGATGATGGGATGATGATGATGATAATGCAGACGATGATAATGATGGGATGATGATGATGATGATAATGCAGATGATCGTGATGATGATGAAGATGATGATAATGCAAATGATGATAATGATGGGATGATGATGATGATAATGCAGATGATGATGATGATGGGAAGATGATGATGATAACGCAGATGATGATAATGATGGGATGATGATGACAATGCAGATGATGATGATGATGAAGATGATGATAATGATGGGATGATGATGATGATAATGCAGATGATGATAATGATGGGATGATGATGACGATGATGATAATGCAGATGATGATAATGATGGGATGATGATGACGATGATGATAATGCAGATGATAATGCAGATGATGATAATGATGGGATGATGATGATGATAATGCAGATGATGATAATGATGGGATGATCATGACGATGATGATAATGATGGGATGATGATGATGATCATGTAGATGATGATAATGATGGGTTGATCATGACGATGATGATAATGCAGATGATGATGATGATGACGATGATGATGATAATGCAGATGATGATGATGATGAAGATGATGATGATAATGCAGATGATGATAATGATGGGATGATGATGATGATAATGCAGATGATGATGATGATGATGATAATGCAGATGAAGATGGTGATGACGATGATGATGATAATGCAGATGAAGATGGTGATGACGATGATGATGATGATAATGATGAGATGATGATAATGATGATGATGATGATGATGACGATGATGATGATAATGCAGATGATGATAATGATGGGATGATGATGATGGTAATGCAGATGATGATGATGATGAAGATGATGATGATAATGCAGATGATGATAATGATGGGATGATGATGATAATGATAATGCAGATGATGATAATGATGGGATGATGATGATGATAATGCAGATGATGATAATGATGGGATGATGGGATGATGATAATGATGAAATGCAGATGATGATAATGATGGGATGATGATGATGATAATGCAGATGATGATAATGATGGGATGATGATGACGATGATGATAATGCAGATGAAGTTGATGACGATGATAGTGGGAGCGGTCTCGTTGATGGTGATGTGTGGGGGGAAAAATTTCATTCACAACCGATCGTTTTAATTCCATTTTGAATGTTGCGAAGCCGAAGCGTTTCATTCCCACGCGAACGCCATCATCAGTCGAAATCTATAACGCACGCGACGAACGCACAGAACCAGGGATGGTGCAGTGCTAATCAGACATTCGTTTATAGAATTCCAGTTTTCCAAAGGTAATTCGACGAGAACGAATTATGGCCTGAACAGTTGAAGAAAGAGACACAAGATTTAGCGCTAGATATTCACTCACACACGCTGGTGGGGGGGGGGCTAAAATATATTTGTAACCAAGTAACAAAAATATTTGTAAAGCCAAAAAACTTTACCAACACGTTTTGTCTTTTAAAACCGAAAAACCACTTTCAAGCCAGGCACGCTTTACCATTAGGCTACGAGAAGCCATCACAGGAAAGCAAAGTTATTAGATTATAATGCTAATATAGAGTAGGTTCCTCTCAAGAAACCTACTCCCATTCTTTAATAAGATATCTATACTGCTTTACATATGAATAAAATAAATAAAAAGACAAAGGGGAAGCATTCTTAGCCGACGCGTTTCGCTCTCTAAGAGAGTTTATCAAAGCGGATGTAGGATTTATTTTGTTGCACGTGTTTATATGCAAGGGCAAGGATGTGATTGATTTGTCAAGGCTTTTCAGTTTGAGAACGTTCATGAATATTCATTAGGTGGTTGAAAGGACAGTCAAAACATTTGTCTTACTGGACTTGAATTATGCAACATTTGTGTTGTCACTGACCTTTCAACCACCTGATGAAAATAAATCCTTACATTTGACTTGATAACGTATATCAGAGGACGTAACGCGTCGGGCCTAAAAAAAAAAGTATTTCCCCCCTCTTCTGCTGACCTAAGATGGAACAAATACATTGAGTCAATTACTTCGTCCACCGCAAGGAAAGTTGGCTCCCAGTGCCGCGTCAGGAATTTTTTCTCGCCGGAGTCAAATCCTTCAAATCTACAAATCAACCATTTGCACTTGCATGGAGTATTGCTGCCATATATGGTCTGGAGCCTCTTCTGTTTGCCTCGGGGTTCTTGATAAAATCCAGAGATGGATATGCAATGTAATTGGCCCTGATCTGGCATCTCGTCTGCAGTCGCTCTCTCACAGGCGTGCCGTTGCCTCCCTCTGTCTTTTTTTTACAAATATTTTCATGGTAATTGATCCGATGTGCTGCTTTCGCTGGTTCCCAGACTTCATGAGTTCAAGCGCCCTACGAGGCTGGCATCCCGCCCTCACCCTTTCACTGTCGAAACTGTTAAATGTAGCTGTCTCTTCTACTCCAATAGCTTCATGTCTCGCACCTCTCGCCTGTGGAACTCCCTTCTCTATTCCAGTTTCCCTGAGAGCTATAATCTCCAACTATTCAAACGTAATGTCAATCGACATCTCCAGTTGTCTTGTTCTATCCACTATCCTTCTCCTCATCCTTTCTTCTATCACTCCTATCTAATCTTGCTCCGAATCTTCTGTAACCCTTTGCGTGCTAGTGGCTTCCCGCCTTGCTTGGGGTGAAATGCTT